CCCCAAAACCCCAAAACCCCAAAACCCCAAAACCCCAAAACCCCGAAAATTATCACCAATATTGAACTAAGAGTTGCTAAAGATGTCTCTTGATACTTATAGCCATATGACTTTGCTGTTTATTACTTCTCTTTACTTCTGGCATGCTCATTCTCCTTCCTTTTACCTTCAATCATTTGCTAATCACTAAGAGTTATCTAGTCTTTTACCTTCCTGGGCTCTTGTTTTAAATTTACTAACTGCTAAAGTATTCTTTCGAAAAGATTGTTCTCTAGGTCCAGAAAAGACACCTCTCTTACAGTTCTTGGTAAATATCTGGTTGGTGAGGTAGAAATCCCTGGAAATTAATGAATATTCTTACTCTTGTTGTCAATTATTATTTGTCTTGGGCTTGATATCTTCTAAGAATAATTTCATTTTCTCGTTTTTAAAAATGTTTGATGGATTCCCAGTAGATCTATTTTTAAGTGAAAACTATACCATCAATAACTATCATCTTCAAGCCATGCTTCCTTTATAGTTCGTACTTGAGTGTGAATACTTTCAATATTAGGTTCCTTAATATTATTCATTATCATATACCGTCGTCACAGAATTGCTTAAGTTTCTGTGTAACTGTCTTCTCCTTCTAAAATTCCCCTGACTTTGGTTTAATTTCTTCCAGCTCTTGACTCTCAGATTAAATTTACTCATAGTTCTACAAATAAAGCAAAGGTATACATCTTAGACTTTAATGCTTTGTTAGATTGAACAGATTTATTCATATTTGTCTTATCTCAACCATTTGTGAAACTATGGCTTGTATTTATGTTCAGGTCAAGGGAGACTTCTCTAGATGTTAATTTCTTGTTCTTCCCTTTCACATCAAGCTCTACATATTTTGGCATCAGAGCTTGATACTCAATTCTTGGGTCTACTCGGATAGGTTTTCTATTTGAATTCATCAATTTATTAAGACAAATTTCAAAATTGCTTTACAAATTAATTGAATTATTATTAAAAGGGAGAAAATCAACTTTATTGGAAGATATTAAAGTCTCAAGAAATTAAAATAATTCGAAAATTCACATATATCCATACTTAAGAAGTTTCTCTTTGATACCAATGTTTCTATTCTTGATAGACCTGATTAACATTCTACGAAAGTTTGATCAAGAAAGATCGTTCTTCATTTTAAATAATCAATATCTTTATAATCCTAAGGGGTTTTGGGGTTTTGGGGTTTTGGGGTTTTGGGG